GAGTAATCCTCCTGGTATTGATCACGGCTATTCTTGGGTATTAATCTCCTGTTTTGTTACTTTATGTCCCCCAGATGAATTCAATCTTTTTATGTCTATCCCTCTCTGACTCATTTCGCTTAGCATGATACTTTCCATGTAGTACCACTTGTATGTAAATTTCATGACTTCATCTTTTCTAATAGCTACATAGTACTCCATTGTGTAAATGTACCAAAGTTTCTTTAACCAGTCATCTGTTCTCGGGCACTCAGGTTTTTTCCAGATTCTGGCTATTGTAAAGAGTGCTGCAATGAACAAACTAATACAGATGTCACTTCGACTATACATTTTTGCCTCTCTGGGATATATTCCCAGGAGTGGTAATGCTGGGTCAAATGGGAGCTCAATTTCTAATTTTTTAAGAATCATCCATACTGTTTTCCAAAAGGAAAACTGAACCAGTCTGCATTCCCACCAACAGTGAAGGAGTGTCCCTTTCTCACCACATCCGTGCCAGCATTGGTTGCTTCTGTTCTTTTGGATGTGGGCCAGTCTCTGAGGTGTGAGATGGTATCTCATTGTGGTTTTGACCTGCATCTCCCTGATGATTAATGATGTGGAACATTTTCTCATGTGCTTTTTTGCCATTCGGATTTCTTCTTTGAGAAAGTTTCTGTTCATTTCATTACCCCATTTTTTATGGGGTTGGATGTTTTCTTCTTGTGGAGTTCAACCAGTACTTTATATATCCTTGATATCAACCCCTTGTCAGATGTGTATTCGGGGAATATCCTTTCCCATTCTGTAGACTATCTTTGTATTTTGGTCACTGTTTCTTTGGAGGTGCAGAAGCTTCTTAGTTTAAGATAGTTCCATTTATCTATCTCTGTTTTCACTTGCTTGCCAGTGGCGTGACATCTTTGAAGATACCATTAGCTTCAATGTCATGGAGGGTTTGCCAACTTTGTCTTCAATGTACCTTATGGTTTCCGGTCTGATCTTGAGGTCTTTAATCCATTTTGATCTTACTTTTGTACATGGTGTTAGGCAGAGTCCATTTTCTTTGCATGTATCCGTCCAGTTTTGCCAGCACAATTCGTTAAAGAGCCTTTCCTTACTCCACTTCACATTTCTTGCACCTTTATCAAAGATTAGATGATCATATGATTGAGGGGAGATGTCAGTGTATTCAATCCTGTTCCATTGGTCTGAAGCTCTGCCTTTGTTCCAGTACCATGCTGTTTTAATTATTACTGCTTTGTAGTAGAGTTTGAAGTTAGGGAGGTTTATTCCTCCGATTTTCTTTTTGCCCAAAAATTGCTTTAGCTATTCGTGGGGGCTTATTATTCCATATAAATTTCAGGAGTGTTTGCTCCATTTCTTTGAAGAATGTCATGGGTATCCTTATAGGGATTGCATTGAATTTATACAATACTTTTGGTAGTATTGCCATTTTGCAATGTTAAGTCTCCCAACCCATGAGCAGGGAATATCTTTCCATTTCCTCATGTCCTCTTTTATTTCCTGAAGTAGCGTTTTGTAGTTTTCTTTGTAAAGATCCTTTACTTCCTTAGTTAAGCTGATTTTTAGGTACTTGATTTTCTGGGACCCAATTGTGAATGGGATTATTTTTTTTTTTAATGTCACTTTCTTCTCTCTCACTGTTTCCATATAGGAAAGCCATGGACCTTTGGGTATCGATTTTATAGCCTGAAACTTTACTATACAAGTCTCTTGTTTCTAGGAGTTTCTTGTTGGAGGTTATAGGGTTCTCTAAGTATAGTATCATATCATCTGCGAATAGTGAGAGCTTGATTTTTTCCTTTCCTACCTGAATGCCCTTAATATCTTTTTCTTGCCTAATTGCTATTGCAAGTACTTCTGGTACTATATTAAACTCCAGACTCTTTTCTATCACAACTATGCTATTTAGAATTTCTGGATGCCAGTAAAAGTGTGAATGGTAGTGTGTGTTAGTTTCAGCTAATGGGCATATCATGGTGTAATAACTTCTCTCTCTAAAAATGAATTTAGTTTCAGAGATTATCTATGATGGTTTAATGGAGGAGTACTAATTATTCACCTTCATTTTTAAAATATTATTTTGAATTCTGGCTTTCAAGTGCAAAATTAAAATCCTTTCTCAAAGAATTCTCCAAATATTGAAAGTGCTGCATCCAAGTTCTGAATGTTCTAACTCATGAAATTATAATAATACAAACAATTTCTCCTGTACTTACAGTACTAAGAATGAGCATATTTTCTATTTTATTTGATATTTGTTATCTTTCTTGTCAATTCTAATGATCATTATTTTGCAGTAGGAGATCATTATACATCAAATTGTACAGGTACAGGCAGCTGTGTTACCCTGAAATTCATGCTGTGATAACAAAGAGAAGATCAGGTTAGCAAAATTATTTACAATATCACACAATTGTTGTTGCACGGGATATAGCACAGGGGGAAAACCTTGATTTCATCCCTAACACCACGTGGTCACTTTTCACAAGCATTGTGGAGAGGGGCGGAGAAATTAAACCCAGGTCAGCCGGGTCGGCTGTGTGCAAGGCAAATGCCCTACTGCTGTGCTATCGCTCCAGTCCACCATATTACTAAAACATGTTATTTGTAGGATGACTTCCATTTTGCCAACTTTCCACTTAATTTGAAGTATTGTGTGTATAGTGTGAACAAGATCAAGTATCAGGATTTGTTTTTTATTGTTATTGTTTAAATAATGTCATTACAATAGTACTAACTTTTGTGGTTTTGATGTACAGTTACTGTACCTTGTCCCTCGTCCCCACCGAAGAGACTACAATCCTCCACCATTGCCTTCATTTCTTCTAGTCTACCTCTTCTTTCTCTACCCTACTTCCCTCACTAGGTGTTAACCTGTTTTTTTTAATCTAAAATTTAGAAGTCTGCCATCCTTCAGTACTTTTCCCCTTGTTCTTTTACTGTAAATACTGAAGGAGGAGTGAGATCATCTATTATTTGCAATTTTCCCTCTTACTTTTATTTGCTTAAAAACGATACACTTCAATTTCAACCAACTTTAACTTCAGGTTCAACTCATCAGTAAACTGTGTGATTTTATCTTTTTCTTATACCTGTATAGTATTCCATTGTCTGCATAAACAACAACTTCTTTATCCTGTTTTTGTTAGGTAGGGACTCTGATTTTCTCATAGCATTTTAAGCAATGTAATAAGTTTCTATATTTTTAACTCAGCAACTTGAGTATTCTCTTCTATGATGTCCAAACCATGTAAGAGTGGACTTAATCACTTAATCACTTAACTTCCCGTTAGTCGTCGATTTGCTCGAGCAGGCGCCAGTAACGTCTCCATTTGTCCCTGTCGCGTGCTAGTGTAGCCCAATGGCATCTCTTCGCTCCGGGAACATGGAGGGCCTCAAACCGATCGTTCATGACCTTGACAAAGAAGTCTGACCATCTGGTAGGTGGGCGGCCACACGGTCTCTTGACATCCCGTGGAATCCAATCAGTAACAGCTCTAGTCCAACGGTCGTCTTTAAATCTCATTATGTGACCAGCCCATCTGATTTTCGACACCTTGGCAAATGAGACAGCGTCCCTGATCCTTGATCGTCGACGGATGTCAGAACTCCGGATTCGTTCTCTCATTTGAGTGAAACGTGATATTCCAAGCATAGCTCTTTCTATTCTTCTTTGGGAGACCTGAATGGCGTTCTCATCTTGTTTGCGTAGGGCCCAGGTCTCTGAGGCATACGTTAATGCAGGAAGAACAGTGGAATCAAAGAGATGTGCCCGGAGCCGGAGGTTCTTCGTCCTCTTAGCTATTTCTTCGACGTTCTTGAAGGCGTTCCAAGCCGCTCTCTTCCTCCTGCGCAGCTCGGGTGCCAGGTCATTTGTCATGTTGACCTCTCGACCTAGGTAGACATAGCTGTTGCATTCGGAGATGGTCGTTCCATTGAGAGCGAATGGGGCGTCAGGAACAAGGCTGTTTCTCATAAACATTGTCTTCGTAAGATTCAGCTGTAGTCCTACCTTTCCACACTCACGGTCAAAGTCGGCCAGCATTTGTGCCGCTTGGCTGATGTTTGGTGTTATTAAAACAATGTCATCAGCAAAGCGGAGGTGGTGTAGTTGCCAACCAAGAGTGGACTTAGCTCCATATAATATTACAATTTCCTTCAGAATTTGCTGATCACAAAAAATGATTTAAATTTTCTTTCAGTAATTTATGAAAACTTGAATTATTCAATATACTTATACTATTAGATTTCTAAATGTTTTGGTGGGGGGTGGTGTACCATATCTGGTGGTCCTCAGACCTTAATCCTGGCTCTGCAATGAGGGATCACTTATCTTGGGTCTCACATGATCATATGGGGTACTAGGAATCTAATTCAGATCAGGCATCAGTAAGGCAAGCACCTTAATCTCTGATGGATCACTTCAGACTCTCTCTGAAGTGTTTATTGTCTCTAAAAAAATTAATCTGAATCCCAATTTAAATTTGTTTTCCACTATTACTTGTTATTAATATTTTACAAACCATGAATAAAAAACAAATAATATATAAATTAATGAAAATATTTAATAATAGTATTGAAATAGTTGAACTGGAGAGATAGCACAGCAGGTAGGATATTTGCCTTGCACACAGCTGACCTGGGTTCGGTTCCTCCATCCCTCTTGGAAAACCCGGCAAGCTATGGAGAGTATCACGCCTGCATGGCAGAGCCTGACAAGCTCCTTGTGGTTTATTTGATATGCAAAAATAGTAACAAGAAGTCTCATAATGGAGACATTACTGGTGCCCACTTGAGCAAATCAATAAACAATGGGACTACAGTGCTAGAGTACTACAGTGTATTGAACTTGTTTCTGGTAAAGAAATACAAGAGTTGTAGTTCATATGTATTATAATAATACAATAATGCTAGTAGATTCTATTCATCTTAAACTCAGGCAACTTTTCTGAGTTTGTCTTTGTTGTATTCTTTCTAATTAAAAATAGTATGCAAACACTATACTTTCAGGGATCATTTCTATAGTGTGTTACTAGAGAAGTTTCTCTGATCGTGTAGAGCACCGGGAACCTTGAAGAGGAGGCAGAGCATCCTTCCCCGAGTGTGAAGCCAGGTTCTAGTGTTGCTTCTGCAACTGCCTTTTACCATTCATGATCAAGTTCTTCTCCTCCCTCGGAAGAGTGAGAGGCTGAGGAGGGCAGCCTGAGTTGCTAAAAAAAAATCAGTATATAGCATTGATTAAAATTTATAAATATAAATATGCACAGACCGTAAAAAAATTCATAGTGAATTCAATGGAAAAACAATTTATAATAACTTTAGGAGAACTCTCATAAAGAATGATATTTTTCCATTTCCATTCCATAAATGGTATTCATATCAGAACAATGACAAAAATATTTATTCTGTGTTTAGTTAGCAAATCTTATACAGAATTTAAATTTTCTATGATTTCTGACTGTGCACACTTTCTAGAGCACAAAGCTGGTTCCTAGAGCACAAACCCACAAAAAATTTAGCAGTTATGTGTTTAGTTTTTAATTTATTGTCTTGTGCTTAATTTTTAATTTTAATTTATTGTTGTTTCTATTATTATTATTATTATTATTATTATTATTGTGGTTGTTGTTGTTGCTATTCAAGGACTGGAGCGATAGCATAGTGGGTAGTGTGTTTGCTTTGCATGCAGCCAACATGGCTGACCCGAGTTCGATTCTTCTGCCCCTCTTAGAGAGCTGAGCAAGCTACCAAGATTATCTTGCCCACACAGCAGAGCCTGGCAAGCTACCTGTGTCATATTCAATATACCAAACACAGTAACAGCAAGTCTCACAATGTTACCGGGGCCTCTCAAGCAAATTGATGAACAACAGGAGAACAGTGACAGTGACGGTTACTATTCAAGCAACATCTTATGGTTCTAGGAACCACTAGTTTTGTGCATGGCATGACTGAGTATCTATACAGTTCTGAGTAATGAACTCAGAGTTTCATATATGCAGATAATGTGGTTTTAACTCTATCTATCTCCCTGGCCTCTAGTTTGTCTCTCTTTAAATCAAAAGAAAATATACAAATATATACTCATAAAAGAAATGAACTTCACAGCACAGCGAAATATCCTTCACAAAATATCCTCAGATTGCTAAAAAGTTTTGCTACCTCCTGTAAGTCAGCACTAATGCTCAGATTTTATGTTTCTAGTAAATATTTATGTTGTTCATTGGATACCGAAATATTCAGATTCTTCTTTAAAGACTTCACACTTCATATCCCTGGTTGTTAAAAAGTTCTCAGCTGAATTCCTCTCTAATAGTGACCATTTACTGAATAAAACTCATCTCACCCAAATTTGTCTCATCTGAGGACACTCTATATAAATACCTATTTTATGTAAAAGTATAAAATTGTTGTGATTTTGCCGCATTTGGAATGCCTTTAAAGCACATTCCTAAAATATATCTGGGATTTGTCTAAACTTTCTCTCAAAACTGCTACGGTTTAATTTATTCCTCTGCCAATTCTGTTGCACTTACTCACATACATTGAACTTGAAGACTTCTTTTTTAAAAAACAAAATTTATTCTCTAAAATTCTATTTCTGGGATTGGAGAGATAGTACAGCAGATAGGGTACTTTTCTTTCATAAAGTCAATCTGGATTGGATTCTGGCATTCTACATGGTTTGCCAAGCCTTGCCAAGAGTTATACCTGAGCACAAGGTCAGGAGTAAACCCTAAGCACAGTTTAGAATGCCCTGAAAACAAAATATTAAAAAAATAATGAAATATAATAAGAATTGACTTCTGTGTTTCCAAAGGAAAAACATCTGGATAGACATAAGTCTACCTCCCCACAAAAAAGAAAGCAAACATTTACAAATTATTTTGTGAATTATTACAAAATTTTACTATAATGAATTTAAAAAAAGCAGAAATATAAAATAGAAATTGACAACAAATCATGTACAGATTAACTGGTAATCCGTCTCATATTATTTAATTCTGAAATTATCATTTGCAGAGAAATGGAATAGAGGTGGTTTGCTGTTGAACATAAAAACTCTATCATCTAAGCAGTATAATAAAAATGCAGGAGATTATGAGATTTTTTTAATTTAAAATAAAAATCAGAGAACAAAAATAATATTAAGGGCTGTTAGTTTCCAATTAAAAGCTGCGATTGAATTTGACAAAACATTTCTGTTTGTAAAGAATAATTTTTCATTTCCTCTAGTCTGACAGTTGGAGGAAGATTATTGTACATAGGAATCGCATAATTACATAACTCTAAAAAGCTTTAACTTTTCTCTTCCCATGTTCTTTCTTCTGAGCTTTCTAATCACTGAGGTATTACTTTAAATTTTCAATTGTCATTCTTTCAATCTCTCTTCTGATTTACAAAGGTCAGGAGGATGTTAACTTGTCAGTTGGAATGTTAGCCACTCTTTGTGAAGACATCAAGACAGAAACTTTCAAATGGGAAATCCTCTCTAACACTATCCTCTCAGTTTGACATCCTTCTAAAATATGTGTTTTTTTTAAATAATCCAGTGGTTATGGTTGCATTAAGGTAGGTTTTGTTTATACTTTTTACAATTTATGGTTACTCCAGGAGTGCTTATGCAATTTAAACTTATTCAGTATCACACAGATCACAGTCCTCCCGTTGTTCATCGATTTGCTCAAGCGGTCCCAGTAACATCTCCATTGGAGACTTTGTTGTTACTGTGTGTGGCATATCGAATACGTCACGGGTAGCTTGCCAGGCTTTGCCGTGCAGGCTAGATACTCTCGGTAGCTTGCCGGGCTCTCTGAGAGGGGTGGAGGAATCAAACTCGGGTCAGCCATATTGGCTGCATGCAAGGCAAACGCCCTACCACTGTGCTATAGCTCCAGCTCCAGTGCATGTGTATATATATATATATATATTAGATTTGCCTCTAAGATTGGTCGCCTCCTACTTTGAACCCCATCAAATGTGGTGCCTGACTCTTGGAGTATGAGTGGTTGAGGTATGAGATATCCAGGAATAGGTTCACTTGTGGGTGAGGCTCAGCATCAGTGTGTGGAGAGCTGCGGAAAGCATGGCACCAGTTCAGTTCTGGAGGTTTTCGGCTGCTGGGGCTGGGTCCCTTGGGGTGGGGAGAGGACTCACCCACCCCCTCCCAGGCACCCTGAGTGAAACAGTCTGGCCTGGGGTCCAGCAGCATGGTTATGGTCAGCGGCATAATATGCTCCTTTCTGGGAGAGAAGGACATGTCGTCTCCCATCCGTTTTATTGGGGGAATTATCATGCCTTATATTTATAATTCCAACTTTTTATAGAATTTATTGTTTGTTACATAAAAGTATCATTATATATGGTAAAGATAAAAATATAAAAAAGGTCTTTAAAATGTTTGTTTCTCATTTCTTCCATGTGATTTTTATCTACTGATGGATTTTTATAATTTTATATATTTTCTCATTATTAACTGAAAATGAGACAAGCTCTAATAGTAGCTTAGATATAGCATGCATTGTATTTTTTCACAATAACAAAAGTTTTTATAAATATTAAATTAAAATGCTTTTTTATCTATAACATTTAAACTTTTTGCGTCTATTTATTTGTTTATTTATTTATTTTGGGGGGGATCGAGACTCTGCCATGCTCAGGGTTTAATCTTGAATCTGTGTTCAGGGATCACTCCTGGTATATTTAAAGACACTATATTTAGTACAAGGAATTGAATCTAGTCCACTATCTCTCCATTCTCAATCATGCTGTTTCTCAATAAAATATGCAATGGGTGTTGAAGTTTACAAAATGATTTTTCAATATCTATTGAAATTATTGAAAGTGTTTCCTTTAAATCCATTATCTCTTTTTTACAATAGGTTTCCAGTGAAAAACCAACTTTATTGGGCACCAGTAATGTCTCCATTGTGAGACTTGATGTTTTTTACATATTGAACACACCCCGATAGCTTGCCATAAACACATTCATTATTTATTTCATTATATTGCTATATTTAAAACCTTCATGTTACAACTTATAATAAGGCTCAGTGGTAGAACAGATGCATATAATGTGTGAGAGTCTGGTCAATTTTTGGCACAAAATTATATATAATTACAAGTGAGCTAGTTTTGAGAGTACACATTTTAATGAGTATGTTATTATATGTTATTTTGGTTTGAGTTCATTAATCTCAGAAATATACTTATTATTATTATTTTGCTCTAATAGAACATTTTTGCCCTATGATCTGATATTGAGTGGGTGGGATTCCACTGGCCTTGTACTCAGGGATTATTCCTGTCTCTGTACTCAGGGGTCACTCTTGGTGATGTTCAAGGGACCACAAGTGGTATTGTGAATTGAACTGGGGCCAGCTACCTAGAAAGACAAATATCTCAACCTCCACACTTTCTAATCCATTCCAATGTGTTTATTTCATCTTTTTAAGTTTGAATGAAGCATTCCTAAAACTGAAAAGGAGAAACCTAATGAGATCCCATTATATTTAGAAAGAAAGTGACCAGAGATACTCCGGATTACTCTGCGAAGAGGTTGAATTAAGTGTTTAGTCATTTTATATATTACTTAACATTGCATAGAATTACCAAGATAGCCATTATATAGATTCATTTGTCAGTTCATTTTCATTTACAGAGAACGTTCATTTGTTCACTATGGCCTTTAAAAACATATATAATAAGGATCTCAAGTGAATTCTAGAAGAATAGATCTTTTTCTTGCTGAAAATATCCCTCCTCGCAAAAAAAAAATAAAATGGAGGAAAAAGCTGAACAGACACTTTCTCAATAAGACAGATGAGTAATGGGTATATGAAAAAAGTGACTTTCATAACTTTGTAATCAGAGAAATTCAAATTAAAGCAACAATGTAATATAATACCACCTGAGTGAGATTGACTTGCATCAAAGAACCAGTACTAATGGGAATGTGAGAAAAAAAAAGGAACTTTCATGTGCTAAGTTTTATTGATGAAAATGTCTTCTGGTTCAATCTTTATGGAAAATTGTATGTAGATTAGTAAAAAAGTAAGAATTGACCTACTATATGACCTAGCAATCCCACCCCTTGGCATCTACACCAAGTTGTAGTGTATTAAATTTATTCTGTGGTGTATATAAATATCAAAGTGATATTTGAACTCCAGTGCTCACTGTATCACTGTGCACTATGGCCAAGATCTAGA